CTCTCTTTCTCTCTCTCTCTTTCTCTCTTTCTCTCTCTCTCTCTTTCTCTCTCTCTCTCTGTTTAATTACTACAAGAGACGAACACAAAGATTAATATTAATTGTTTCTATTGTTATTTTATATTTAACTGTTTATAAAATACACAATTTACGATTAAAAGATGTGTAATTATTCACATTTATTGTACAATTAAATGAAGTAGATACACGTGAATGAATAATAATCTATCAAAATTGTCTTCTTTTAATTAATAATTACAAATATAACAAAATTAATTGTAAATGAAAAGCTTAAATCAATTTAAAATTTGCCTTCATTTAAGTTATAAATATATAATTGTTTGGGAAAGATTTGACAAAATAAAAAAAATGTATTGGAATGCAGATTGATTTATAATGAGATAAATATTAAAATATTGATATTGTGATAAATATTTATAATGTGGGAAATATTAAAATATTAAACTGATACTGATTTTCTATTTAATTTAATTTTCCACATTCGAGATTGAAAAATGAAAGGGAAATCATATTTTTTTTAAAAATTGATCCCGGGGAGTCTATCTCGACGTAAGCTAACTGAGACGTCTCTAAGAAATTTTCATGAAATAAAGCAATTGTTTTAATAAAGATGGATTTATTAGTAGCAAAACATCATTTATTCAGAGTACTAAAAAATTCAATACATATGTGAAACATATTTATTACCCTACTTAACAAACTCTAAATTAATAATATTCTAAAGTATCCTAAATTTATAATTAAATTAAACATAAGAAAACTAATGCTGTTTACAAAATTAAATTAAATTCCATTAAATATACTTGTGCAATTTTTGTAATCTCCTTTAATTGAATTATTTCGTACCAACATGAATATTGTAATTAATGTTCTCCATATTAAACACTTTTACAACACAGTGACTAGTATGAATGTCTTTAATTTTGTGACATTTTGCAACAAAAGGCGTAATGATAAAATTATCTTTCACAGTCACGTAACTCGCATCAACTAACGTTCGACGTCTTCAAATAGGTTAGTGTCCAGAGTCCATATCGAATCCAGAGTTATAAAATGTTTTGGTTCAATATTAAAGTTTTTTAATGGTTACAATTAAAACGGTTCAACATTTTACCAATCTTGCATTCCAGACCGACAGATAATTTTTCAAACTAATTGAAGATCCACTTATGTTAACCCCAAATCACACACACACACACACACACACACACACACACACTCACACACACACTCACACACACACACACACTCACACTCACACTCACACTCGCAGACACAGACACAGACACAGACACACACACAGACACAGACACAGACACACACACAGACACAGACACACACACAGACACACACACACACACACACACATATATATATATATATATATATATATATATATATATATATATCAAAACTACATAAACACACACATTCTTAGACTAGATCCCATAACTTACATTGAGGATTCTTTTATAACATATTGCAAAAGGACCTCGCACCAAGCAGGAAGTCGGGCGCCCGAGTGCCCGGGCAGTGGATTAGGGCTAAGCCATTACATTAGGGTGTCGCAAGCGCGCAGAGGCTGGAAAGGCCGAAGCGCAGGAGGAGATCATTCCTGAGGTACTTTAGGAGCTTCTAGGAATTCGAGAACAGCTTGTCAGCGCGGGGATCAGGTGATGTTGGA